AATAGAAGAAATCTAATCTGTATATGTATATAAAATGTTTTTCACATTGAGATAATTGCCAGACATCTTACAGAATATTATATTATTCTTCCACAAATATCAAGTCTCAGAAAATGTACAAATTTCTTTGAAAATTACAAATTACCATTTTATTTTAATTTTATTATTTTAACTTGTCATTTTTTCATAGAAAAATACTGGTTCATTGAGTAAATGCGAATAAAATAAATTGATATGCAATGTGGATGCATTTTAAACTTACAAAAAAAACAAAAAAATCGAGTAAAAATGAATCTATTTATTAGAAAAATATTTATTTAGCCTCCAACTTAAGTTGTTTAATATATTTCACTACACAAAAAATATATATTATTGACCTGTTATGCAATTAAATAAGGCCCCACGTTCTCCAACAGCTTGTGCTTTATAAATTCTTTATAAATAAATAACTTTAAGTTCAGCAATCACTTGACAGCTAATAAAATTTAACACTTTCCGTCGAATCGAATAAAAATCGATTTATTTAGCAATATAAAAATCTATGACATCTTTGGCGAGTTACCTGTTTCGCCCCCGTTTAAATAAGGATGCATTTTGCACCTGTCAAGCATGTTAAATCCCGTCGTTTTCCCTTCACAAATCCGCGAATCCTGCCCATCATACGCTCAGCAAGTTGGCTCATCCCCGTGGAAATTGAATTCTCCATAAATACCACGAAAATCTTCCTGTGATGCCTTTCGTCTGGTTATATCCTACAGTTCGGGTTGTTTTTCATTCGCGATAGGAAGGGAGTTTAAGGGTATACTGTTTTTTTGGTTAAAGTGAGGTTTTTCGATGCTATTTTTATCATCAAGATGCTTTCGTACGGTATTGTATTTTTAAAATTAAATACATTCCCCCATTTCTTTATAGATTATTCCCTTTAACTCTCTCTCTCTTTTTTGACGTAATCCAGGGTACTCTTAAGTCCCAGTACACTTCCACCACAGAAATCTTACTTGTTTTCTGTCTGTTAACTTGCCTCAGGCCGCGGCAGATGCTGCATGTCGCAATGTCGCGAGTTTGCTGCGTTCGCTGCAGTTGCTCCCGCCGCTCCGTTTCGGTTTTTTGGGACATGCCACGGCCTATATAAATATGCATATGCTCCGCAAACATTTGCCAAGTTATCCGCCCGCACCAATCGGGTTCATACATATGCGAAATGGTATAGGGCTGGAGGTTTGCAGAGGCACTGTGTCTCCCGAAAATTCATGCGAAAACTGCTGACATTTGTGGAAAATAAATGCAACGTCAGAAATATTGCACATTGCATGCAAATACGGGGCGAGTCGCGTCAGCCAGCATGATAAATATACAAATCCCAGTCAGCTCTTGCTAGTTAGACATCCGTTTAATTGAGTCAACACACAGCGGAGATTCTAGCAGAGATTCGCGGGCATGGGGTGGAAAAGTGGGAGGAGAAAGAGGAGCAGAAGGAGGTGGATCTAGGAGGAGGTGAGAGAAAGGGGGTGTCAAATTAACGCTGTCAACTTTTCGCAGCGTGCACAGAAAGCATTAAAAACTAATTTATGGATTTGCAAAGCCAACTCCTGCGTTGATTTATGTACACTCAACGAAAACAAATGCCAGACAAAAGTTTTTGGCTGAAAACAGAATGCGATAACTAAAGTTTTGAGTTGTTCTTACATTAAATATTTGTACACTCATACAAATATTTAATATAATTTAAAAGACTTGAGTTTTCTGAGTTAAGATTAGTTTGAATAAACCTTAATGATTTATAATTTATTTTTAGGTATATTAAGAGTTTAAAAAATCCCTGTCACTTATTTTCTCCTGTGTAAGACCATAAGAATAAAAATACTCACAGCACTTGGGTATCCTGCGGCACTTGGGGCACGGCGTTTAGTTTGTTGCGAATACAGCGCACAGTGTGCTCCATGCAAGTGCAACCGGCTGGGCAGTAGATGGCCCGTGCTCCGCCGGCAAATAGGAGCAGGACGAGGAGCTGCAGCAAAAGCAGCAGCAACACTCGCGGACAATGCATTTTCAACGATTTTCTGCACGCACACACTACCCGACCAGATGGAAGTCAATTCAAGAACTGTGTTCCTCCGCGGCGGCAAAACTGGCCACGACGATAAGCACCGAACGCGGGCGGAAGTGGGACCTCTACTACACGCTTATCGTTGGTCTCTGACCACTGGACGACGGCGTCTACTCGAATCACTAATCGCGGAGCTGGGAACACTGCGCAAGTGCGCCTCACATATCGCCTTAAAGTCACAAGGAGCTGCACAGGGAGAAAACAAAAAGGTAAAGCTGTTTCATAATTGATTTTTATAATATATAATTTTTTATTAATAAATTTAATCTTAATCTAAAATTCTTTTCTTATTTTTTTCTTAAAGCTTTTACTTGCAATTCCTTACTTAAAAACTGTATTTTAATTTTAAATTTATTTGAAAAAAAACAGGTAAATATCCAATTCGATTTTTTCGAATTCTTTTTTTGTTGTAAAAACCTAAAGAGATAAAATTTTTCACACTTTTTTAAGATTATTATTTTTTCAGTACTATTATTTAATTCACTTATCATATGTGTAATGTTTTTTTTTTAATAATAAATTTTCCTAAAATTATCACATTTTCAATATTAAAATCCACAAACTAGAATTGTTTCTTTTTATAAAATTACAAAATTAGCCAATCCAAATTATTATTTGTATTAATTTTGTACTACATTTTTTTTTATATTTCAGATAATTACTATACTTTTTTTTTAGAGTTTTCACTAATATTTGACCAAGTTTCTAAAATTTCACAGATTATCCAACCTTTTTCTTAAATATTTTTTCAGAGATATGGCTTTCTGTGCGTTGCCGCGTATATTTAGTTTTCGAACGTTGCGAGATTACTTAGCGATTCCGGGACTCTTCTCTCCGCATAACCGAGTGAACTGCACGCGCCAAATGCCGACGAGCATCTGAACGCCGAGCAAAAAACCCGGAATCGGAATCGCCGAGTTGCACATGCAGCGCTGCCGACGTAAGCAGAGGACTCCGGCAGAGCTGGGAGACTCCAGCTGCTGCTGGTGTTGCCGCAGCCGCCATCGCCTCCGCCGGATGCAGACTGTGATAACATTTTCCTGAGGCTCTCGGCTTTCTGCTGAAGAGGTTCTCGATATTAGTTGGCCGGCAAAAGGTGACTACGGCGGCCTACGGAGAGGGTGATGGGTATGGATAGTTTGCATCGGATGGATGGATGCCCTGCTCGATACTATATAGTAGTCAAGGACGAACGACAGCCCCTTGTGTTGCACCGGCGTTTCCAATGTATTTTCAGTGCGCAAAGCGAGCGCAAAACAAAACACAACAAGCATACGCCACGTTGCACTTGCCAGCATCGAACATAGCATCAAATGCTTTGCCCCGGCTCATTTTTAATGCATGAAGAGGTGGAATCCAGCCCCTGGTTCGGAACACTCCATTTGTTTTTGCCCTCTCCCCCTTATCCCCAAAAAAGGAGAGGGTGGTGTGTATCCAAAACTGCTCGCTTTAGCGTTCGGTGATAAGACGCGAAATCAAATTTAAAAGCTATCAATTTGATATTAGTTCGGGGACCCGGGAAGAACCCTTTGGGGGCAACGTTTGCAACGCGTGCCAGAATGCAGAAAATGCTGTAGTTTCCTTTGCTTATTTTTGGTTCTCCCACAGAGAAAAATAGGACCAATATTGGCCATCAATAAGTAATAAAGGAGAAGTAGCTGGAGATTTATAAATTACCTTAGAAGTGGTATAGATAGTTTCTTAAAATATAATAATAATTATCGAGTTATATGCTGGTCAGAACTTTTATTTGTTATCAAGTTTTGTGTCTTATTAAAATGTAATATATATATTTAAGTGCAAGTGGAAGGAAATAGATACTATTAGTATAGCCATCTTTTTTCCAGTGCTTTCTATTTGTTTTTTCAGAGACATATGCTGCATGCGCAGCTCATAAAATTTCCCCCTTTTTTGGGCTGCAGTTTTCATTTTGCCTCCTTTTTTTCGACAGCACTTTTTTGGTTAGCTGTCGAAGTTTTGAAATCAATTTGCAGATGATTTATTATGTTTTCCAGAGGGGTAAATGGAGCAAAAGGAGCAATGCAACAAAAGGAGCAGCCAGGAGCAGCTTATGAAGCGGTGGAAGCTGTGTGCATACGACATCGGCAAATGGCAAATGGGAGGCCACTACTGACGTTGATGAATGCCGCTGTGTATTGTTTTGCTGTCAATTCCGATCGAATTGCAGGTGAAGCGGAAAATTTGCAAGTTATGCGACAGTTTTATGTGCCATTTTGTTGATTGCAAGGCAAGAAAAGTGGAAATCTATTCGCAAATTGATTGCCAGGCTTTGGGAAATGGGGAAAAGCACTGGGGAAACTTGTCAGTTTTGGAGATGAAGCAAACTAAAATTGAGATATTGCTAAACCTTATATTATTTATTGCTTTCATTGACAAATTAACCTGTTTTAATAATTGAAAAATATTATTAGAAATAATATAAAAAGTAACCGCTCTTTGAAAACAATGCTGCCAGTAATATTTTTAAATTTGCAATTGGCAGCACTTTTCTTCAGCTGATTTCCGATAACTCTGCAGAACATCGATTATTTTCATTGTTTATTTCCAATTTTTACTAGATTTTATGGCAGTCACTAATTTTTTGATTATGTTAAAAATAAGAAATAAATTAATCATGTTTACATATAAGCTGGGTAAACTTTCTTCACAATAAAGTTAAAGAAAACATCGATATAAGAAAACATCGATGCGAATTTACTTTTAGAGCGCCGTTTATTTTTTATTCATTTTTAAGTCAACGGTTAAAAATATGCATAAAACCTTGCCTTCATACTAAATTTCAATAATTAAATTAATTTTTATTAACTACAATGGCGCCCTCTAATAGGCGATAGGCACGGCTATCGATAAGTCGCCGTCATATGGCTGTTACCACCACTAACCTGAATAATTTTGCAACATTTTTCCGATCAGCCGGCAGCTTCCGCTAAATCCGCGATTTAAAACATGTTCAGAATATTTTGACGTCTTATTTGCTATGTCCAAGCGCGGCAATAACATAACCTACGTGAAACCGCAGGAACCCAGCTTCCTGGCCAAGCTGAAGGCGGAAATTGGCTACAAAGAGGGACCAACCGTCGACACCAAGGTGCGTTCTTGTGTGGCCCGCGAAAACCGTAGACCTGTAATGCTTACTCCAAATGGAAATTTCCAATCATAATCTACACAGCGCCAACGATTGGAAACGGATCCTGATCGGGAGGATTACGACTCCGGTGAGGACGAAAAGCGACCGGAACGCGAGGACGAGCAGCCGCAGGTGGTGGTCCTCAAGCCCGGAGATCTGTCCGCCGAAGAAGCCCAACTGGAGAAGCAGTTGGCCGCCAAAGGTGCAAACACATTAACATATATATCGTACCCATATAATACATACTTACACGCTTACACATACATAGAGACACACACCCGGACAGCTGTGCACGTGTGTGCGTAGGTAGGATGTTGTGTAGTTTGTCTTTCAGTTTAACTTTTCAGTCAGAATCGAGCGGTCGCTTCCACGCCTCTTCTGCCCTCGGTTACATACATATATATATATTATATTATATACGTATATATATTAGAAGCTATTTGTTTGTATGTAATCCGTGTGTCTGTGGCAGCGCGCGTGTGTTTGTGAATTTTTGCAATTGAAAAAAAGAAGGTGGAAATTTAAGCAAATATCGAAATCGGAATACAACAAAGATAGTACGAAAGATCCGGAATTTGGATTATAAAGTGTAGGTGTTTTTTTGGTTGTGTAAATTTAAAGTGCTTTTTCTGACTTTTTGGATAAAGTGTAGGCGTTTTTGGAGTTTTTTTTTTTGTCGGTGGAAATGTTTGGTTATCATTAAAGAGAGGAGTATGAGGGATCCCAATCTTAAGGAAGCCAAAAATAGATAAAAGTGAAAAACTAGGTAGTTTAGATTCAACTTCATCTCCAATCCCTTTGAAGATATAACAAGTTTTTGACAGATTTAAAAGTTAAAAGAAGTTAAAATCCATGGAAAACCATATTGGAATACGAAATATTTCCTTTCTATCCTTTGTTTAGAAAAGAACTATACTTTTCAGAGTGTTTTCTGCATTTTACAACTGCCCCAAGGGCGGCGGTTGCCCTGTGTTGCCATGGCAATCCAGACCACACTCCTGCCCTGAAGAATCCCTCTTTTTGCCCAGCGGAGCACCCCTTACACACACTCACACAGCTAGGCCAGCTCACACACAGACGGCGGCGATGAGGCATACACACTGACATTTTCATTGGGGGCTCCGCTGCTCCGCCAAAGCATAGCATGTGATGAAAATCGTTGGCAAAGCGGGCAGAGCGATAAAGCAGCCGGCAAAGAAGTTAACAACAGCAGCTGCCGCCGCTCGCTTTGTCCCCGTCTCCCCTTCGCCGCTCTTCTTCTTCTTCTTCTGCTGCTGCTTGTGCTTCCTCTTTCTGCTCTTCCCTGCTTCCCGTTGCCCGCCACCGCTCCCCCGCTTCGAACAGCGCAGAAAATCGGGTGAAAACGTGTGCAAGAACGAACGGATGAAGGAGGCGGCCAAAGCGGAGAGACAATGATGAACGAAACAGGCGAGCAAAGAGAAAAGGCCAAAGTGGCTTGACGACGTGGTGGTGGCGTCGGCGGAGGAGGAAGAGGAAGAAGGGGTCAGGAGGTGAGGTGGCGGCGAAGGAGGAGCACTGCGGGGGCGGGTTGCGAATTAGTAGATGGAGCAGCAGCAGCAGCAGGAGGAGGAGCGGGGGCAATGAATTGGCCAGGGCCGAGAAAAACATCTTGTGAACGAAAGAAGAAGAAGCGGGAGGCGAGGGTGCAAGGAAGGTGTAAGTGGGCGGTGCTATCTTCCGATTTTCCCATTTGCCCTTTGCCATTGTGCAATTTCTGAAAATCCAGATACATTTTCCGATCGAATTTAGAGGTTTCGAAGCATCAGGTCCTTTAAGTTCTACTTTTATTGTCCCAGAAATAGATGCAATTTTAAACTTTGAAAATATCCTTGAACAGAACTATACAACTTTGGTATTTGAAAATATCATTCAGCGTGTAAAAATTACCATATTAAGTTTAATATTATTTTATTTATTTTTAATTCTGATAACTTTTCTGACCACGTTCTAGTTTCAGATATATTTTTCTTAATGTTATGGCATATTTTAGGATCTTCATGAAAACCGATAAGATTTACATAGAAAAATATATTTTTTCTCAAATATATTTTGACAGTTCAACAATTTGCTAGTTTTTAAATAAAATATAAAAAAATTAAATGAAATAACAAGCCCTGTGCTCTCGCATATTTTTAGAACTTGCCGAGAAGCGTGCGGATCTGAATCAACCGATTGTCTTCAAGCAGCGTGTCAAGCAGCCCAACGTTGAGGCTGATAAATCCGAATCCGGAACCAGCAAAAAGTCCGGTAATAAACCGGAGAATACCGGGAAGAAATCCAAGAGCAAAAAGTCAAAGTCCGCCGCTACAACCAGTAAGCTCTCCTTCAACGAGGACGAAGAGGACGAGGCAGGAGAGGATTAGAGATTGGAGCTTGATATCCGGCTTCAGATTCCAATTTGCCAAGTGAAACCCTCGGCGAATGATTAAGGTGAGAAACACTCAAGCCAGCAACTGTTAACGGTTGCTAGCCAAGATTCGGGGTTTCTATATTGTGTTCCGATGTTAGTTTATGTAGGTTAAAAATCTAATTTCTATAGGTTTTAAAAAATGTAAAGATTGCTTTTGGAATGCTTGGAAGTTTTCTGAACCCCATCACGCCACTAAGCATGATTTTAAGATTTAAATTCCTATTGAGAAATTAACGTGAAAGATAAGATTATATTATCTTTCTGTACCAAAGTACTGGCAAGCCATCATTAATAATTTGGATCCAATAAATCCCATTAATTCAGTTTTCATTTTGTAATTTTTTATAATATGTAGATGAAGTCATTTATATCTTAAAACTTTGAGTCACCAATGTCTTAGTGACTCATTCGCTAGCTTAAATTATGCAATTTTTTATCCAAATAGCCGGTGAATATCAGTTAAGTTAACTAAAACTTTTTAATGTTGATGATGGTCCTTAGGGTCACAAAACATTACCATTCTTATAATTCTGATCTTGGCAAATTTTACAATATCTTTAAATATGTTCATGATTCAAAACAAGGAATACAAACTTAAATATAGACAAACTTAAATTGTTAATATTAATTGAACTTCGATAAGCAGTTAAATTTGTAAAGAGTATGTACATACATAGATACTGCAGTTCAGTCCGAGTTGTCTTTAAAGATAGAAATTATATTTAAATGTTGACAGCTTTTTTCCACAAGTTAAATATAAATAGGGATCTAAAATCTTTTCTAAATCGGAATCTTATAGTTAAAAAATATATATTTATAATTCCTTTTTAATAAATGACCGCTTTCAAGCCAATTATTACTCTAAAGATCAATGCAATTTCAAACATTTGTTATTTAATTTAATTTTGTTGCTTAAAATATACTTTATTTTTTTTTGTTTTTATATATTTATTTTTATATTAAAAAGTCCAGTTTAATTAAAATATCTAACTTTTTTTTTTATTTAATGTAAAATATGAACTTGTGTAATTTACTTCTAAATCGGAAAAGGTCACGTGTATGTATAACATAAAAGTGCGGCTATAGTTTTCAGTCTTTAATGGTGGGCTTGGGTCGGTTGTATCTGTAAACCTTTACCCATAACCTATGCATCGCACTATGCCAGTTGATGATCACGGGGGTGAGATGAGATGATTTTAGATGTGGATGGAAAATGAAAATGCGCCAGAAGCGGGTTACTTTCAAATTTTGTACTTGCATATAGTCCAAATCGCACACAAACACCAACACACATACAGTCGTACATACGCTGCATACATATTTAGTTGTATGTATACATATAGGTAGGTATGTACGATTGTACATGCCTTTGGCCATGGGTGCGAAAGAGAAGCAGCGCAATCTGAAATAAGTTGGAGGAAGAAGAAGCATAAGCAAAAGTATACAGTTTAAGACGCTCTAGTATGTGTGTGTGTGCGTGTGCGGGATGGGGGGGCTAGAATATTGGAGCTGCAATTAAATTTGCCCCAAACACATTTCATTAACCGCCTTTCGCGCGCTTTCGTTTGAATTTCTGCACATGCGAAAACGCATAAATCCATCAAGTAAACCGGCGACAAGCAATGCCGTTTCAGTTTTGTTTTGTTCATTTCCTTCGTGGCGCGCGTACAATTGTCAAATGTTGTTTTCCCTCCCATTCCACGCCATTCTGCCTCCCATTCACATGGCCCATGCACACACACACAAGCGCGCATGCACACCGACGCACACACAACTCATGCACGCGCCATGCTCTTCCCACGGCGTTTCGCTATTTTAGAGAGCGGGCTGCCAGCCCACTGCTCTCTGCTTAGCCGGCTAAAGTAGCGGCTTCAGCTGTAAATATAATTAAAAATGAATCTACAATTTCAGGGGGATAAATAATTGGCAATTTGGCACTTGCTGCCGCTGGTTGCCAGCGACCTATCGATGTCCGATAGACCGATATGTCGGCCATGCAACCATGCGCGCGCCCCGGCTGTTCGTTGCAACTCTGTTTTTGCTTTTTCCGCCTCACACATTTCCAGTTTTTGCCTTGTCCGCCGTTCGTTCGCTCGTCTCTTTCGGCGTTCTTTCCACTCTTATTTTTTCCCCGCAAGCCAACAACCCCACGAAAAATTTGAAATTTCCTCTGGTTTTTGTACAAAAACGATCCTGGATTCGTTGTTTTCGTGTTTTGTTTACTGTGATCGAAGGACAGTGCAAAAGGGAAGCGAAGCAAAACAACAACCTGACTGAGTGTTCGAAGGGGAAAATGTAAATGTAAGTGGCGGCGGCAAAAACAAACGGTCAAAAATCATAAAATGTAAGAAGTTCCGAAAAGTATGATTGCAATTGCAACAATAAAAACCTATTAAATATATATGTAATGAGGAGATCCAAGCCAACATAGAAGCAGAAAACGCACACACACAAACATAAGCGCCGCACACAGACAAAACACTAGCGCAAAAACACGCTCCTGTACCAAAAACGTACAAAAACAATACAACAACAACAAAAAGTACTCCACCGTGCCACAACAACAACAAGAACTAAAAGCTAAAGCCAAACGTCGTCGTCATCCGTCCCATACCGTCCCGCCCCCCGACCACCCTCTCCCTCATCAACCGCGTTGTATATATAGATTGTATATATATATTTATATGTATGTATGTATGTGCAAGCGGTGTGTTTTTGTGCTTGTGTGTGTGTGTGCCTTCGCCATGGTATATATGTATGTCTGTATGTATGTCAATCGTTTTGTTCGGTAACTGTTCGTTCGTACATACATACGTACATATTTACATACCTATAAAAAACATACTTTGTTGTACATATGTATGTATGTTGCTATGTTTGTTTATGCCGCAAGTATATATGACATACATAATATATATTTGTATGCCAATACATTGTAACTCCTGAATGCCATTTCATGCTCACTGACTATTTTTCTGCCAGTGTAGTGGCTTATTTACATATTTACATACAGACATTCATTACATATTAAATTGTATTTTAGTTTTAATCCAATATGGCAGCCATTTTGTATCAATCCATTCTTTGAACTCCCCGCGCTCCCTGCGCCCTGCTCTCCAGCTATCTTTTACATTTTCCCTCTGTCTCCGTTGCTTCCTCTTCTCCACCGTCTCTTACCGCTCTTCCTCTTCTCCGGTTTCTTCCTCTTCTTGCTTCCCTTCCTACCGCCTTTTATTTTATTATATATTTTTTGTTGTAATATTTTCGAAGCCAGAATAAGAATGGTTTTTAATTCACCTAGATTTTTGCACATTTTTTTTCGTTGATTGTTTAATTTTTATTTTCGCTTTTGCCTTCGCCTCGTATTTAGCCTTCCCCGCTTCTCCCTTCCCTCCTTCCAACGTTCCGTTCTGCAGTCTTAGCTCTTTTTTTTTTTTATATATATTTTCACTCTTTGCCCGTTGCGCTTTGTGCTGCTCATTCGTTGCTCTTTGCTACTTTAGTTTTCTTTAACGTGCCAATTTTTCCGGTTGGTCTAAAGAAGCCCCCGTTATAATTTGACAGATTTCTCGCCAAGATCCCTTTAGTAACAAACTCTATCTATCCAATAATTCCTTTGCAGAAACATAAACAACTGGAAGATACACCGACTTGGGCACATTCCACGGTACTCAGAACGACGGACACGGATTGCAAATGACTGAAGTCGATGTCGCTTTGCCGGAGGGCGTGGCCGAGCCCACAACGAAGCTTGCCAGCGCATCAAACTCGCCACAGCCAGAGCCAGAGCCACAGCCCCACACCGATTCCCCGCAGCCAGCTGAAAAGGAGGAGGTGGTGGAGAAGGAGCAGCAGCCAGAGAAGTTGAAAGCTGCTGAAGAGGAACTGGAGGGTAACGAGGAGAAGCTGGAAAAAAATATCGAGATCCCCGCCGTTGCCGCCGCCAAAGAAGATGACGTTACAGACGTTACAGAGGCCTTGCCTAAGGCTCCGGCGCCCGAGGAGCTAACAGAAGAGGATGACGAGGAGGACTTGGATGGCGAGGACTCACAGATAACCAGCACCAGCTCCAAAGAGCCCAAGCTCAACGAAGATGAGTTGGAGGAAGAGGTAGAGGAGGAGGAGGCCACCACAAATGGCGATCATGAGCCCGATGCCGAGGATGAAGATGAGGCGGAGAAAATAGGCAGCACAGCTGAGAATAGTTGCGAGGCTGAGGATCCGCTGGGAGCGGCGGCCACTGTTGAGGAGGTAAATCTGCTGACCAGCAAAAAAGCGAGTCTGGAGGAAGGCGAGAGCGAAGAGGATGCCCTGCAAGACGATGAAGAAGAGGAGCTAGATCTGTCGGCGAAAAAGGCTAATGGCTTTGCCAAGCAGAAGGAGAACGGCCAGGCCAGTGCGTCGGAGGTTAGCGGCGTAGTTAACCTGGACGATGAAGATAGTGATGAGGAAATGGAGGATCTCACGGCCCGTAAGGTGCCGGTCAATGCCTTAGAGAAGGCGGCCAAGCCCCCGGCCACTATCAACCACAACAACAACAGCGGCAATGAGTCCTCTGATGATGCTGTGCTTATAGCCTCAGATTCTGAACCGGAGACATCTGGCCCGCTGCCACAGCAGCCTCCGGTGGCGCCTGCAAAGAAACTATCGCCCGTGGTGGCAGCAGCAGCGGCAGCAGCAGTCGTCAAGGCCACACCCCCGCCTCCAGAAGACGATGACGACGACGATGACTGCGTCGTGATCGAGGACGACACACCGCCAAGTATTTCTCCGAGCATAGGCAAGCGTAAAAATGAACTGGACGAGCTGCAGATGCAGCCCAGCCACAAGAGGCAGCGCAGCTCGACGCCCTCGGGCCTGGGGCAGCTGACCATCAAGGATGCTCGCTCCCTAATGCAGCACGATGGAAGTCCAGTGGTAACTGGAGCGGGTGGAGGTCCCCGGGACTCTGTCTACCCGGTGACCATCACGAATGCTGTGACGGGAGCGGCCACCAATCTTGGAATTGTGCCGCCCAAGCTGGTTCCCATGTCTACCATGAACGCCAGTCCTGTGCAGCAGCAACTGAATCCGCCAACGCTATCGCTAACGGGACTGCCCAGCATGACGAACAATGCCAACCTGCTGCCCGGCCTCACCGACGACATGTTCGTCCTGGAGGCGCCCTCCTTCATTGTGCCCTACATATACGAGAAGCCGCCGCACGAGAATATCTGCGAGGTGGTCAAGGCCATTGAGACCAAGTATGAGCTTTCCGCCGAGGATCTGGCCGAAGCGGACAAGGGCGATGAGTTCGACATGATGACCGAGCAGAACAAGGAAGACAAGCCGGCGGAACAGGGCGGCGGAGGCAAGAAGAAAAAGAAGCGCGGTGATGACGAGTCGTGGTCAGAGCAGTCGGATGATGATGACGATGACGATGATGACGACGATTCGGAGTCGGGCGTGCGCACCAAGGTGTTGATAAAGGAGGCCAACGACGATCTGACGGCGCTCAAGGGAGCCATCAAGCCAGCCGCCGCTCTGGCGGCCACTGGAGGAGTTACAAGTACTACGGCGGGCAGTAAACCCGGACAAGAGAACTACTTTGAGAGTCCACTCGGCAAGTTCTTTATGGATATCGGTGTGGGCCTCGTCCAGGAGTACGTGCAGGCGGATCTGTTGCGGTTACAGAAGCGCAAGATGCGCAAGGCTCAGGTGGGATCCAAGGAGTTCGAGATGGCCATCAATGCGCTATCGGGAAATCTGCAGGCTTCCAAGACGAAAAACGCACCCTTCAAGTTCCGAATGAAGCGTTGCGAGTTCTGCAACTTCAAGTCGGAGTCTGCCATGGCGATGGCCAATCACTACGAGACGCCGCATATGAACGGTGTGCTCTACAAGTGCAATTTCTGCACGTTCGAGATCCGAAATGCCACGGAGATTGTTTACCACATGGAGGCGGTGCACAATATCAAGGCGCGCCTGATAAAGCCACTGCCCTACCATCAATGTCCCAACTGCGGTTTCGAGGACAATGGCAAGGCAAAACTGGCACGCCATCAGCCGGTTTGTGCCAAGAAGTTCCGGCCGGAACTAAACTTGGCGCCGCCCAACGATTGGGAGGCACCGGCCAAGATTCCGCGTATCAAGCCGCGTCACGGTCTCGTTGGCACTGCCACCGCCTATCAGGTAAGGGTTTAGGAGTTGATTCAACACCCTATAGATCTCTAATCATAGTCTTCTTTTACTTTTTCAGGCCATGGCTGCCCAGGCGGCAGCGCAAAAGGCCGCTCTGGCCAATATCCAGCAACAGCAAGCGGCGGCCCAGGCGCGGAATCTGCAGGCAGCCGCTTTGGCTGCCCAAAACGCAGCCAAGATGCGACAGCGAGCACCACAGCCGCCCAAGCAGAACATGGTAAGGAATCCAGCGCCGGTACGTGGTGCTGGCAATTCCATCAATGCGGGTCTTGCTTTGCCCAACAGCTACCAGCTGGCAGCCGGACAACTTGTCCAGGTAAGCCAACTCCTTGCAGGTGTACTGATACATGATGTTAATCCCTCATATATTTCCACCTTCCAGCAGGCATCCAAGAAACCGATGGCCGGTCAGCCCAGCATCTCGATAACGCCATTACCTCGACAGAGCTCGGTAGGAGCCGCGGGAGCGGGCGGAGCGTCATCCAGCAAGGTGCCCCCGGCAGCAGCAGGAATGAAGCCTGGCCAGAGTCCCAGCGGGAACAACAAAGCGCAGTTTGTCATCTGCGAGATCTGCGATGGTTACATCAAGGATCTAGAGCAGCTGCGCAATCATATGCAATGGATGCACAAAGTGAAGGTACAGCAGAGTTTCCTTTTCCTCTAAAATTCCCCTTACTAAACGAATCTCTTTTTCGGAACACAGATACATCCCAAGATGATCTACAACAGGCCGCCATTGAACTGTCAAAAGTGTCAATTCCGGTTCTTTACGGATCAGGGCTTGGAGCGTCACTTGTTGGGCTCACATGGCCTGGTCACAAGCTCCATGCAGGAGGCGGCCAACAAGGGCAAGGATGCCGGCCGGTGTCCAGTATGTGGAAGGGTGAGTGTCCAGCTTGATATTTTTTGCGAAAATGATATCTAATTAAATTTTCTTGCAGATGTACCAATGGAAGCTACTGAATCATGTTTCGCGCGATCACCACATGACCCTGAAGCCCGCTCACCTGTCCTACAAATGTACCGTCTGCACGGCCACCTTTGGCATGTACAAACAGTTTGAAACGCACGTGTATACGGCTCATAGTACGGTGGCCCGGAAGGCAATGGACAGCAAGAAGAACAGTGCGCAATCGTCGAGTGGGTCGGGTTCCGGAGCTGGGATGTCGTCGCGCAGTTCGTTGGGAGCGGCCAATGACTCGCTGCTGAAGCCGCTAAAGATCAACGATGAGATCACGATCATACCGCAACCCGCATCGAAGCCACGCATCACAAATATGGAGAGTCATGTCATAGGTACGTGATTTGTGGGAGGATTTTTGGTTTGGGTTGCTTGTGGAGGTTTTTTTTAAGATATTAAAATTTTAGTCGAGTTTGTTTGCAAGTGAGTTGCAAATGTTTAAAAGAAGTATTAGAATCATAAAAGCTGAAGTAGACTTTGACGATTTAAATTTTTGTGGTTTAAACAGGGAAATTAGTGGATTTTATAAAGCAAACTTTTATAAATTATAATAATAATATCTATAAAATTGTAAAAAGCAATTGCAATTCATTGGCTTAATGTATAAAATGTGCCTCTTATAAAATACATAATATTATTATGTTATTAATTATAATATTATATATATATATAAAATCAAAATTCTTTAAGAAAGAAAAAGATTGATAAGATACATTTATCCCCAACCCAAAAATCTAAATCTTTTCCTACGGAAAATTCTAATCTAATTTTTTATTTTCTATCCACAGATTAAAGAAGCGTGCTTGTTGGAATCCATCAACCAAAAACCTAATCTCGCAAAAACGTTTGCAGCATTGACAGCGAGCGCGCGCTTTAACTTTTAGTTTCGTTTGTAAGCCGAGCTGTGACCTTGCCGCGCCCAAGGTCGCGTCCATTTTACTTCACTAAGTCGAATTGTATAAAGAGCAAGCGAGAACCGAAGTAGGAGCTGTTTGGGAATAATCCCCCCCGACTTGCGGTTTAATCACTAAAACACCAGCTACAGGATACACGATAAAACATAATGCTAAACAGAATACGGATAATAGAGAAGGAGAAATACTAGTTACGGATTTTAGTTACATACCGGAGTGGAGTGTGCACATAAGTTGAAGTTGTAGCTACTACTAAAATATACTACCACATACACACAACATATTATATACATATATATTTAAAGCTATATTTAAATCCATTAATTTGAAGGAAGCCGCCAGAGAGCCGCGCATCGTCTGCATGATGACTATGTAAATTAGTTAAAAACTAAAACTATTTATACGACAAAAACCGAAACTAACGTACGAGTGTATCCAGCAAATGTGTGTTGCAGTATGTGTATATACATTTTGAAACGGAAAACCGAGAACCTTGTGTGTGTGCTTGGCGCCCTCGCCTCCAGAATCTTGTAGAGATTAATCGAGATGAGATAGTTAAGTGCAAACTGGATGGACACTGATCTGAGAGACGACATAGACGTTCGACATTTTAATTTTTGTGTACAAGTTTACCCCTATATTTATATATTATTACGCATTATCGATTAATATTAAAGTATATATCATCTATTAGCAATTAAGGACAACCCCCATGTACTACAGTTATAAAGCAAAACCACACACACACACAAACAAAAGTGAAAAATGAGAAAAATTAAAAACCTAGTTAATATTATAAAAGCAAAAATCGTGTTTTGTGATCTTTCTCTTGAATTCTGGAAAAACTCGCATCCATCCATCATCCGCCGACGTCAGAGGTGAGAAGTGCTCAGGGAATGCTTTTAGCAGTCACATGATGGGAACCACCTCGCACCACCCCGATGACCAGATAACACCAGTGGGACGCACCGTCAGACAGAAAGAAAGAAGAACAAACGCCAGCTCATTTACCTAGCACTAATGCGAAATTTATTTTTACTCTACGAAATAGAAAAAAGTGAAATTCCAACCTTGTGATGGTGGATGAGATGTGACCAAGGTGATCTCTTGTCCTCGTCCAGTCTTGTCTAGCACTGTAGGTACTCTTAAGTGTGTGTGAAGCCATTAAAACTAAGTAGATCTAGGGCATATGTAACATAGGTTTGTATGGGAGAGCAACGCACTGCATCACGTTTTTAGCTTTTGTGGATGAGAAGATTCACGAATGGGGAGCGACCGATCTAATCCTCGGACTCGGCCTGGGCCACCTCGTTGTCCGTGGGCGGGTTGACGGGCAGCGCCTGGCCAATGTGCGACGAGGGCGGGAACAATTGGGCCGCATGCGTCAGCTTGGCCAATGCGTCCTGGTCAAGAATCTGTGGCTTGTCGGCGGCACTGGTATTGGATTTGCTCAGCTGATAGAAGGCCGTGTCGCTGTGGGTAATATTCACAATGCTTCCGGTCAGCGGCAGTGTCTCCAACAGTTCCTGGGGGCTGCTAAAAGCTCCAAGGTTCACGGGCGCAATACCAGTAAGCACTTGGCCGGTGACATTCGTCTGAATGGGCAGCGGAATGTTGCCCAGGTCAATGTGACTCTTGTTGCTGTGCGTGTCGTAGAACGTGAGGTCGACGCGCTCCTGGCTCTCGAAACTAGTGTCATTCTCGTCCACTTCCGTGAGGATGCCGATCTCATAGACCACCGCCTTGACCACGTACCTGAGGGGGGAGAAATGTGAAGGTTAAGGTGGTGTTTTTTAATTCATTGTAATTTTTCTAATTAAGTTTTTATATTTTTCTAGTTAAAAATATACATTTTCAGAATATCTTATCATATTCTTATGAAATTAAAAGTATTTCCTTAATAATAAATCATTTATTATATTTTCTGAATTTTTTTAGACAGCTAATTGACACCTTTTAGGTTGAGATATAAGAAAAGGTTAATAACTAAGTTCAGAAATGTGCAAATTAATTTGCTTATAAACGGCTTTCACTTTGTATTCTCTAAATTATTTATGACTTTTGTATAGAAAAAAAACTAAACAAATTTAAAAATATATCCCAAGATAAATACTATATTCTAAGCCAAGCTTAAATATTTGTATAACATTCTAAAATTTTTTCCCAAGCATTACTTACAGATTCTTTGGGCTATCATTGACGCTGGCCCGCAACTCCTCGATCGTCTGGTTGTCGATCCCCGAGCTGACGTCCAAAACGGGCAGGGAGCAGCCAATGGCCAGCAGCATGCCGAGCACAGCGGCTCCAAACACAGCCTGGTGGACCTGCATCTTGTCTGGGTGAAAAAGAACAACGGCCTGCTGTTGCCTGTGTAGCTCGATGCTCTTAGCTCGGTGCTTCTGGCTGTGGCTGTGGCTGTGGCTCTGGGTGGATAGTGGCTCCGGTGCCTTGCCTGACTTTCGCGCGTTTAAAGTTAATTAGTGCAGATCCGAGCGCTTTTATAGCAAAACGGAGCGGCAGCATCGGCGGATGAGCTTCGGACCGGGAGGCTTTGCGAGGCGCGATTCCGCGTAATTATCGACAACTGTTAATTGCCCGACAGGTTTGCCACTCTGTTGCTCCGGCGGGGCTCTCAAGTCTCGCATCTCCCAGAAACTCGTAGTTTCTAGGCACCGTCGCCCGGACTTGGCTTCCGTTTCGAACTGGCTGGCGATGATTCAGGAGCGGGGAGTGACGGAGGGCTGCGAAGCTGCTGCGATATTGTTTTCAGACTCTAATTAATTGTGCTCGTTTTGGAACGTGTCCCAGGGACTGTCCCGAGTCGAATAACCATTGGCCATTGGCAAGGGCTGACTACGCAAATCTCAAATTGATGCCAAAACAGCCTGGCCCAAAAATAAGTCAATAAACATTGCACCTCCAGATGACGCACTCGACGGGATTGCATGTGGCCTGGACACGCGCCTGTCTGCGGGTATTAACATTACGCATACGCCCCGGTTGACGTAGACAATGATGCTAAATTTCAAAGCACAGAGTTATCATATTCACAAGTAAAGCTTCCTTAATTTTTTGGCATCTTATATTATAGCTTTTGGCATTACGCATACGCCCAGTGTGCTATAAGAAATAATTATCAGGGAAATTTGGGTTCATAGAGAGGATTCCAGACTAACTTTTGAATAAGAAACTATAAGCTACTGAAACTGAAGTATTATCCTTATTAAATGTTCCCCATGAGATCTGCCTAAATATCTCTCCACCCAGAAGTTAAAATTCAAGAAAAATTTGCTGACTCACAGGTAGAATTAGAGCCCCGATATTCGGAGATATTGCGCACATCCCCCGCCGTCAAAATGCCTCATATAAAACTGTAATCAAATTAAAAACTTAAAATTTTTTATAGCACCAACTCTCGGATATATACGAGTTATTCCACACTAGAGTTAACCGCCTCAAGCCGCCCAATCTCCGGCATAACCAGCCTGATCTTGACTTTCATTCATGACTGCCGTCGGGATTGGGTTTTTGGGCCTCAATCTTTCTCCGCCGGATTGATGATCCCGCAGTAAACGTTTTGCGGTTGGCGGTAAATCGCGATTTCCAGGCACATTTCTTCAACAAGTTTTCACCCCGATAATATGAGCATTGGACCTTTTGTCTCAGCGGAAAATTTTCAAAATTAATTTGCACATCAACTCGGTGATCTCATGTGTCGGAATGAATGCTCTAATTATGAAGTGTTAAAGAGCTTTAGTAATTGCAATTGCCGCCAAAGTGCAGTTGCCTTCGGACTGTCCAAAGATGCAGAAGTATCTCATAAATTGTCAAGTTTAAATAATATCTAATTTGCGGTTGCGGTTTTCTGGTGAAAAGCGCGTTTTTAGCGGATGGAGAATACTCGTATGTTTTTATTTGTTTCATGAAGATTGTTTTGGCCTTTCAAAGTCTCAAAAAAAATATTGTTTTTATTTTGATCGGTTTCGTGGAATTGATTTTCGGCGTTTATTTTAGTAAATATATGTTAATTTGCACAATTAAGACAATCAACTTGGGCTTTAACAGCGGCGCTTTCAGCTTTGACTCGAAAAACTCCTGGGTCATAGCCACACACACATTAGATTCTCTTAAATTTGTTAATCCTTGGAATATATTTATGTTTTTAATCTAATTAAATTTGATATAAGTCAGCGAAGCGAAGGTTAAGCAAATTAATCATTAATTTAAAGCAAAGAATGGTGGGAAAAGACTTGTTGGTTATCTTAAAAAATTAAATTTTTAATTGGGTTTTATTTTTTTAAAGCATTAAAGTTTTCCTCTATAAAAAGATGCTTTTATTTAAATAATTTTCCATATTAAATTTATATTTTCTAAAACCCTTTCACTATCTCCAACTTACAGTTCAAATTTGCAAATAAAATCATTTAAAGTTCTCGGAAAAAAGCTAACATATTTATTTATTTTTTATCCAGAATTTTTTAGACCTTTTTCCCTCAGTGTCGGAACTTTGGTTATCCGGCAAACAAACAGAGAACCCGGAGGAGAAAAAAAAATATATATAGAATAGGTTTGCTACCAAACATCATCGGAGGAGTAGCACGCGCAGGCACCAAATCAAGTTCGGCAATCCAAGCGACTAAAAAGTGCTAACTGAGCGTTATAATAAAGCTTAGCCTTAGCCACAACTTTCGAGCTGCGGCAACCGATCGGCGGCTGAGAAAACTTTAAAAAGTCGCCGGCAATGCTGCCGTAATCTTATTTCCGATCTGAGCTTGGAGCTGGCAACACAATCCACGGAAACAAATCAACATGAAGTGCACTTTGCTAACTACCGTGAGTAGAGCTCTTATAGAGGAAATATATATTAAGTATCTGTTCCATAAGGGGAACAAATTATAGAGTGATGAGTTTTCAATTCAAATTTCATGATAAATAATAAAGAAAATGTATTATAGGCCATCCTAAACCCAAAAGAATTAAATTTTTGGAATTATATATTCATTTATTGTACAGAAAGTAATTCTTAAAAATATATATATTTGTTATATTATTATTATAATTATTAAATTATGATAATATTTATAACCTCAACTTAACAGCACATTTATATTTTCTAAATTAAGACTAACCCATTTAAAGTTAATTAATTTTGTATTAATATAATATTTTATAATCTCCCCCTTCTTCAGTTGCTGGCGACCCTGGCTGTCTCCTCTCTGGCGGCCCCCTTCGACTTGAGTGATATCTTCTCCAGCTTCCAGCCGCTGGAGAAGCAGGATGTGGTCAAGCGCCAAGTGCAGGTTCAGGCCAATCCCGATGCCGAGCTGAAGCAGATCTCGTTCCATGGTCTGATCGGTGATCTGGAGGATAGTCTGTTCCAGTCAGCCCTAAGCGTACACCAGGCTAGTGCTCCTGGCAGCCAGGTGGAGGAAGTCAAGCCTGGCCAGGCTATCGATGAGGATGAGGAGCATGCGTTGACCAAGCGTTCGGATGAGTCCACACAAGCTACCACGGTCACAGACGGTTCAATAGATGACAGCGTGGCTCGCAAGATTCTGTTGCAGACCACCAAGAAGGTGCCCGGCAGCGAGGACGGTGTGCCCGCTCACCTTATCATCGACCATGTCTCCGTGCAGCCACATAATGGCGGTGCCCTGCCCCTGATTCCCACCTTCCAGGTGCACCACACAAAGTTGATCTCGGCCACCATTAAGGAGGACTCGAATAACGACAGCAGCGATGGCAAGCAGACTAAGATTAGCATCACCAAGACCTCGATCACATCGACGGCGCCTCTGGAGAGTGTGGAGGAGGCGGTGGCCGCCGCATCGGGTGCCAGTTCAAGCTCTAGCTCAACGAGCACCACCACAGAGAGCGCCACCACGAAGGCAGCTCAGGAGAAGGAGCAGACGGAGGCGGACAAGCCAAGTTCCACCACTGTTCTGACCATCGTGACTAGCTCCAGCACCAGCTCCAGCTCTACCTCCACCTCCACCACCACCGAGGCGCCCATTGAGAAGCTGAAGAAGGACGAGGAGAAGCTCAAGGAGAAGGTGGCCGAGGTGGAGGCCGATCCCGTCATCCTCTCGGCTCGCGTTTAAGCAAGCCGACCTTTTGAACTAGTTGTAGCCCATCCAATCTCATCTCAAACTCACATATTTATGACACGCCAAGTTCAATTAAAGTCATGTGATCCGATCTTTATTTGCATTTCCAATTCACACGGAGGAGAATGGGAATTCTGCCAAATTTGAGGCTCTAATTGTTCAGGTAAACACCAGCCCGACAGCGAGAGAGATTCACTGAGGCATGGAGAGACCTTCCCTTCCCAGAATCTCGCCATCTCCGGCGGGAAAAACCTCGCGTGGATATGCAAATAGTACAATCAGTTCCACAATGTTTGTGTGTTTGACTCTCAATTGGGTTAATTAAATATTGCCAAAAATATTCAGCAAACTATTTAATCGATTTGTTTATGTATTTCGGCCAACAGTGATTAACACTCCATTGCCGGCTTGATTAGTCAACAAATTGCAAATCAAGTGCTTTCAATTTGATTGGCAAATTGCAGGGAAAGCGCACCGGATTTGCTTATTAAAAAAAATAGCATTTCCCAAGCCCCTATTTTCTATTTATTGCTAAAGCAATTACATTTTTTACTTGGGTTTTATGGCTAGTTCAATGGCGATTGTAAATCATTGAGTTTATTTTACAATATAATTTAAAGGCGTGAATTGTTTATATTTATGATGAGAATGTTGTGGCGAATTTCACATGTTTACTTTTTGATTAAATTAAAGTTCATAAAGGCAGCGCAGAAAGTGATTGAACTTATATAAATAATTATGTTAAGTTATAAAACAGAACTGATTGTATTACAAAATTAGCTTAAATTTCTAATTACTTTGAGTTATTAGATAACATTTTTCCTTTTACAAAGTCTACTTTTCTTCTCTTATTTTAAAGTATTTTAGTTTCTCTTTGTTATAACCCATCTATAAACCTCCCCCTCAAGTATAAGCTCATAAAATATTTTAGTTCAGTTTACAATTTTTATTTTCCAGTTGAGTTTAATTTATTTTCCAGTGGCTCCAATGTACAATGAGTAAACAACGTTTATCAAAAACAATTACCAAAGCTTGTAAACTACATCTAGTTGGGTGCTTCCTTGAGTGTATTGTGAATCATCCCCGATAAAGAATCCGCCGCTGCCTCTACCTCCACCCGCACTCAATCAAATGCCTCAAAAAGGGTAGTCTCACAAGTACAAACTGAATGATAAGTTCCAGTGCACGAGCCAACGGCCTGGCCGGTAAACAATTGCGATGAGTCCGGCAATATCGAGTATACGCAACGTGAGCGGTACACAGAGAGGGAAAATTATAGCCAAATCAAATAAAAGTTCTCACGGGAAATGTAATAGAACTAAACAGGCGCTAGTAGAAGTTTTTATTTTTTAATTGCATTTTAAATTAATTTTTCATCAGTTATAATTTAATAAAAACAAGAAAGAAAGCTAACTTTGGCCATCCAAAGTTTGTATACCCTTGCAGGTAACAATTAAAATATATCATAACTAAGCCAAAAATGCATTAATTTCGATTTGGAAAGCAGTTTTGTGTTAGTTTTTATTAATTTAAGAAAACTGCATACCAAATTTAAAATTTTAAGAAATCAAAATTTTTGGTCATTTTTGCTAATTTTAATGATGTTACCCCTTATGAAATTTCGCAGAAACGGCCAAAAAATCGATTTCTTCCGGACATGTCTAGAAAGATTCGCATGTTAATGCTGATCAAGAATATATATGGTTTATGGGGTCGGAAATGATTCCTTGACTTAGAAAAATATTATTTTGTATTATAAAATCTGATTTTTTATATTAAAAAACTTCTTGATTTTTTTAAATTAAAAATATAATAACTCGGCCAAAAGAGCATTAATTTTAAATCGGAAAACTGTTCTGTGCAAGATTTTCTACAGTTAATAAATCTGCATACTCCATTTAAAAATTTTGAAAATTCAATTTTTTATCAAAATCAAAAATTTTAATGATGTAACCCCTTAAAAAATTTTGCAAAAATTGCAAAAAAAAACGATTTCTTCCTGACATATCTAGAAAGATTCCCCTGTTGATGGTGATCAAGAATATATATACTTTATAGGGTCGGAAACGTCTCCTTCACTGCGTTGCAAACTTCTCACTGAAATTATAATACCCTGCAAGGGTATAAAAATATTGGTTTTAAGGAATTAGATAGATGGAATATATATGTGCCCTTTTCCTTCATTGAAACAGCCTTAGGTCAGGGTGAACCTCTCAATTTCTTATAAAATACAATTATTTCTTGCAGTGGACAATTGACAAGTCGGTCAATGCTGGCGTTCTCGCCATCAGCTGTGAGTTTAAATTTAGTCCCTGCTAACTGGCAATGTATTTGCTTTTATTTATTTGCCCGCCTAGGGGGCAGGTACTTTACGTTCTGTTTATATCTATGTTTAAGGCGATAAAAACATGGGAAAGATAAAGCAAAAAAGCTCTGGCCTCTGTCTGATAAAGTACGCAATTCGATTTGTATTACAACATCGACGACGACGGCGACGGCGGAAGATATTTGCACTTAGCCAATTGTGAAACTGCGCGGCGGAATCCGCTCAGGCCTATAGTCACCGTGCGATCCAGGCTCGCGCTTTTTGATAACAACAGGTGTAACCCTTAAAATTTCATTATGGCTTTATCTTATCGCCGGAGAGTCCGATGTCGAAGAAGAGCGGGCATATGGAGTCCATGCGATGTGGAGGCTCAGTTCGAAGGAGGCAGCCGGCGAATGCGTTTCACCTCCGCTTGAGATCCGGTAGAAAAGAGTTACCAATACGGGTGAGATAACGCTTATTTGGTGTGTGCGGTGAAGGTGATGTTTATGGCCAACATTGCGTATACGTTATTGAAGTGACGACAGCGTAATTTCCTGCGCTGATTCATCCAATCGAATCTGAATCGTTAAGAACCTGCTCCTCGGTCAGGAATGATTGAGTTGAACTCTATAGTTCTAGAGAACTCCGGTACTATGCAAAATCCCCCTGGAAAAACCAATCAGGCTGATTAGATATCTTCCCGAATTGACGAATTGTAATTTCAAATTGAATTTATAGCCCCGAAGCGTGCGTTGTCTTATCGAGTAACCAATTGGCTGGCCCAGCGATCACAGTAGGTTGCACAACGCTAGGAATAGCGAGTCGGAATCGAATATAAATATATATACTATATATCCCAGGAACTACAAGAAAACCTCGCACCAAAATGGGCATGGGCACTGGGTTCTCGAAGTGCTTCATACTCTTCATGGCAATTGTGATACTGGTAAGTGCCGCCCATCAAGATAACTCAACCACACATTCCTTTCTAATAATCGAGCGTAATTCCGGTCTAGGCTCAGGGCATTGTATATCTGGGCTTGTCCATCTGGGGAATCACCTTCCGCACCTGCCATGATGCCACCAATTTCGTCGATAATCCTTTCAAGTTTGCCATGGAGTTGATTTACTTTGCAGGTAAGTAAACTATAACTTAATCTTGAAAGCTATAATTAGTTCGAAATTCTAAGGAATTTCACATTCCAAGTAATATAAATTAGTTGGTCTTAAAGTTCATGCCACTAGATTAGATCAGAAATGCTTATATGAAACAATCTAGGCAGAAATTATGATCAAGTGAATGAATAGGAAATAATTTGATTGTTTAAAATGAGTAAGGAAGCCATAAACATTATCTTTGTAAACGTAAAATGACAAACAAATGGAGGCAATAAAAAAATGTTTATGATCTTTTTAAATAAAGGTCTGAAACCAAGAAATGACAATCCCATTTTACCTGGAATAATTATAGAAAGCTACCTTACATGGTTCTTGATTAAAAACAAAGCCACAAAATGTGTGTATTTTATTTCTTTTTATAAATTAATATGTATATTTTTAATCCCCAGAGAAAGAATGCGGTCTTCCCGCCTTAGTGGTTCAGGGCCAGGATTTCCAACTGAGCATGGGAAACTGGGAAAAGTCCTTTGAGATCACCAATCGGGAGTATATCTTTATGATTACCTATGCGGTGGTCAGCGGCCTATGGATAGCCACCTCTGTCTTGATAATCAGTGAGTTGTATTAAAAAAATACAAATATAAAAATATTTAAAATAATATTTTGCAGCAACTCTGTGCAATCGTACCACCAAGCTCATCTCTGGTGTTGTCTACTGGCCCTGGTTCCTGTCCGTGCTGGCCGGCTGCATCCTCGATGTGGTGGCCTCTGTGTATCATGGAATTGACTTAAGCCATACTATGGTGGGTGCCAGGAAAACACTTTAAGTTATAGAATTTACTTTAATAATAAATCTTCTCCCCTTTGCAGTCCCTGGAAGAAACACTCAGCTATATTGGAGGAACGGCCGATACCGAAAACAATTTCTGGAGCCTATTGGAGCCATTCGGTGTCTACTTCTCGACGCCTGCCATTGTGATGCTTTGCCTGACGACCCGCGTGGCCATCATTTGGCTTCTAAACCTTATTGGTGCCAGCTTCTGCCTGTCGCTGTCCGGAATTATGGCTTCACAGAATGCTGCCAAGACCAAGGCCAAGGTTGTTACCGGAAGTCAGGCTCCCACACGGCAACAGACACCTCAGCCGGCGGTGGTTGCGGCACCACAGCCCGTGATGATGGCTGAGGTGGAGACCGTGGTGCTGCCTTCGGCACCGCCAGAGACCCAGTATCCCGAGCAGATCCGGCCCAAGCCGTTGCCCATTTTTATACCGGCAGAGCAGAACCTGCAGCGACAGGATTCGCGGCAATATGCACCCGGAGATCGCACCACGCTGCAGTCGCCGGTGATGGTGCTGCCACCTCAGGTGCCCCAGCAGCAGCGGGATGTGGTCTCCCAGCAGCCGGATATCAACACCTACCGCACCACCGAGGCTCATCCCGATCGCCTTAACTATCCCCCGTCGGAGCCAGCCACGCCGCGTTCGCCTTCGCCGGCTGTCCAGCAACTGGCGGTCACCTCGCCACTGAACAATCGCTATAGCGAGATGTATCCAGCGCCGGTCAATCCCCGTGTGAGCGAGGAGCTGCGCAACCAGATGCCTTGGTCGTACACCAGCATGATTACGAAACCGCCGCCGCCGCCACGCAAGCCCCAGCTGCAGGTGCAGATCTATCCCCAGATCCCGGAGCCCGACTATGCGGATCACTAGAGAGGAGGCAATGGTGTGCAGGAGGACGAGGAGGAGCAGCTCGACGCTGATTGCGGGTTAATCAGCACCTGGAAGCGTGGTTGTGACAATGTTTTGTGTTATTGTTAACTTTATTGCATAAAGCTAAAGCTGATGGCCAACTTTTTCGTTGAATTGCTCGAATCTTCCCAGAAGGAGATCCCTTTTATGTTGACTATGTTCCGCCACTAGCTTCAGGGCTTCGTTTACGTCCAGCTCTAGGGAATCGCCCTCGCTGAGGTGCACTTCAAGCTTGGGTGCCTCGGATTGCACAGCTTTTGCGCCCACAACTACGGTGAGGGGATGTCCCAAGCGATTGGCCTCCAGCAAGCGTTTGCCAATGGTCAGCTCCTTACGATCGTCGTGCAGCAGCTCCTGGTGGCCACACAACTCGCCTATATTCCCCAGCAATTCGTTCTCTATGGCCTCCGCCGGTAGCTGCTCTTTGCTGCCCTGCTTTGGGCCAATCAAACACACATCGTAGGGCGCCAGGAGCTTGGGCCAGCGGAGTTCATGGTCTGAGGAGAGTACTTCCAAAGCAGCGGCTATAATCCTGGTGATGCCAATGCCATAGCAACCCATGATGAGGGACTGCGGCTTGCCGGAGGTATTGAGGAAGGTGGCACCCAAGGGTTTTGAGTATTTGTCGCCAAGCAGGAAGGTGTGCGCCACCTCAACGCCGCGCACTGTGCTTAAACTTGTGCTCTTGCAACTGGGGCAGCTTGTTGGGGACTCCTCCAGGCTGGATTCCAGAACTTCAGAGTTCCCAGCAAAGCCACAAGAGCTGCATTGCAGCAGAGTGTCCTCGCCCACGGGTGAAACATAGTGGTACTCGTGGGACAGACTGCCACCCATTATTCCCGTGGCGGCATTCACTAAAATAATGAATAAAATTAAATAAATAATAATAAAAAAGGGTCTTCGAAGACCTTACCCTTCACAAACGGCACCTCTAGCTGTTGGAACAACCTATCATAGGCGGCACTGACTGTGGCGTACGTCCTTGTAGCTGTTTCCTCGTTCACATCGAAGGTGTACATGTCCTTCATCAGGAACTCCTTGGCCCTCATCAGGCCAAACCGTGACTTGAGCTCATCCCTGAACTTGGGACCAATCTGGTAGAGTCTCAGGGGCAGCTGGCGATAGGAAATGGGGGATGTGCTGGCCAGCATGGCAGTTACTGCCTCCTCGTGGGTCTAATCAGGACAGGAATTAGCCTCATTTGGGTAAAAAGTCATCCAAGGCACACTCACTCACTGGACTCATGAGGAACTGCTTGCCGCTGCGATCCCGCACCATATAGAACTCGGATATGTCGCCCTCCAGGCGACCCGTCTTCTTCCATAGTTGCGTGGACGTCAGGATGGGCAGGCTGATCTTCTGGCCGCCGGCCAAGCCCATGTTGCTCTGGACCAGGCCAATTAATTTGTCCACCGACCGCTGGGCCATGGGCATTATCTGGTAGGTGCCATTGCTTCCGGATTTCACCAAACCCAGTTCAGTGAGGAGCTGTAAGAAACACAAGTTTTTAGTTAAAAGTGTTATGAAAGACATGGGTGGCCTTTTCCCTACCTTTTGACTCCGCGACAGTTGCTCCGTTTGCTTGACCACCGCATTTTTGGGTGTAATCAGGGCAGGACAGAAAAGTCTAGAGGCTTTATTCATATTCTTAATTATGTTTATCAAGATTATTAATGCTTATTTTATATTATTTACGTAAAAACACCGGCTAAAAGGTAACAACAATAAAAACAGTATGACCTTAGCTGTAGGACACGAGAAATACCGAAAATACGGAATACACTGAACCAAATTAGTGGTTATTATATATTATGAAATATTAATATAAATATTTGATAAAGTAAATTATATCAAGGATATTTATGACTTTTATTAGAAGATCTAATTATATTTCATATATTATATAATTATCCCAATTAAATAATTAAAATATTTCCATATTTATCGATATAAAACAATCGATTTTGTGCACATATCTAGCCGGCTTTCAACCTCCCATCACTATCTCCTATTGTTTTTGTATTTAAAAATGATTTCTGCCTTCCAAGATCTGTACAAAAAAGGCCTGGATGCCGGCGAGCAGCAGAAGCAACGTCAGAGGCAGCTGCTCGAGCAGCAGAAGCTGCGCCGCCACCAGGAGCAGGATGTGATCAGGCCGCTGGTCCAGAAGAGCCCAAAGTCGGAGGCGCCGCCAAAAAAACACCAAAAGCGAAAGCAACGTGCTGGCGGTGCCAATGCTCAACACCAGCGCTGTCCCTTCCGACCACAGCTATCGGAGTGGCTGCGGCAGAAGCCGGAGGATCTGGATGCTTGGCAGCTGGTGCCCTGTCCAGCCGGAGCACGCTGCCTGGTGGTGGCCAAGGGCGGCAGGACGAGGGCCTACTACAAAAGCGGCTGGCAGTTCGACGACTTCCGTTCCTCGCTGCCCGGAGACAGGCTTCTCCAGCGATCTCAGACTGTCCTAGACTGCATCTATGTAAAGGAGACAGACTCCTTCTATGTGCTGGATGCCATCACCTTTGGCCAGCAGGATTTGCAGGAGTGCGAGGCAACTTTCCGTTTCTACTGGCTAAAAGCGCGCTTCGATGAAAATGATTACGCCAGTCTTAGTGAGCACAATGAGAAGTCGTTCTTCCTCCTGGATCACCACAACTTCGAGGACACCTCTGCGGTGGAGGAGACCCTACAAAAGTATCCGCTTTGGGAGGAGAACAAGCCACCTCTGGATGGTTTCCTCTTCTATCACAAGGAGGCCAGCTATGTGTGCGGCTCAACGCCTTTGGTGTGCTGGCTGTTTCCCTTCATGCTGCCAGATGTGCTGGGACTGCCCGTGAGTGGCAGTTATACAGCTCCAGAGGATTACCAGGCCACACAGCCGCTTCAGTACATGGAGGAGTTTGATAGAAAGCTAAAGGAGAAAGTGGAGGCTCGCCTTAAAAAGAAGAAGGAGCGGAAAGCCGCTCCGGAGGAGGAGAAAATGGAGGCCCAAGCTGAGGAGGAGGCGGAAGACAGCGATGAATATGCTGCCTTAAAGGGACTCCTCGATCAGCAGCGGCGCTTGGAACTCGGCGAACTGGACATGGACTGCGAGGAGGAGGTGGAGGAGCTGCCGTCAGCTGTTGCCAATTGCTAAGGCAAAACGGGCGCCGGCTTTGGGGGTGGCTTTCCTGCGCCTGCGCTCTGGCGGTGCGGCCCTGGACAAAACGGCCTCAGCTCGCGCCCAGGAAAAGCGCCCAGGACAAGCAGCCCAGATTTCGGCCTCAAAAATATTTCAATAATTGTTAAATTAACCCATTAACAGAAAAAAAGAAATCTAAGATATCAACAAGAAAAATAATGGTTATTCAGCGAAGTTGGAAGATACCCACGGATGTGGCGGGTTCCCTAAACAACACATCGTCAACCGCGTCAAACGAGGTGCAGCAGCAGCGCTCCTCTCCAGGCCTGCAGCTGCAGGCAACCAACTCTTCCTCCGATGACTCCGATTGCTCCAATCAAACCACACATTCAATGGACACGCGAGTGGCCAGTCCGGCTGCTGATTCCGGCGTACGCAAGCAGCCGGACAAGCAGGATGGCAGCGTGGAAACTATAACACTTTCCCTGCTGGGCGAGTCCACGTCTTCAGAGACAGAGCCCGCTCAGGTGAGTCTTTTATCTCGTTTAATTTGGAAGTGTAATCAGTAGATTTTCCTTTTACAGAAATTTGTAACCACAACAGACATGGCAGAGACCATGTTGCAGCGCATTCGGCAGCGCTTGGGCGGCTCACACAACATGGAAAGCGGCGGCAGTGCAGAGTCTGCCATGAGAGCTCTAGAGCTGCTGAGGATCAGTGTGCAGCAATCCTTTGATGCGGAGGTCAATGAGATAATCAAGCGATACATGAACGTAAGATTAAAGATACTTTATGAGATTTTAATCCCTCTTCTTACCCACCATTTGCGCTTCCAAATCCAGAACTATTTCAAGCCCGCCTTTGGCAACATCAAGGAGAATCTCGGCCAGCACTCGGTAAACGAGGAAACCCTGCAGAAGATGTCCTCGTGCGCTTTGCTGGAAAATGCCAAGGCTCAGTACACCAACTTTGTGCGGCAGCATCGTCTGGTCAGCGGTGCCACCACAGAGCAGCAGCGATTGGCCCTTAAGCGCACAGCCAAGCAGGAGATTAGTCCCAATACCAAGATCTACGTGGCCACCAAGCCCATGCCCTGCACGGCCACCACAGTGAACCAATTGCCGAGTGCCAATCAGCAGCAGCTAATCCTTCAACAACCCGAGTGGCAAACGGTACAGCCGCTTCAGCAGCAGCAGCAGGAGCAGACGCCACTCCAACAGCATCGCACCACGGTCACTCCTTTGGTAGGAGGAACTCTGCCCACTCCTGTGCGACGTCAGATTTTTTGGAACACAGCACAGATCTCCACCAGCACCAAATTCGTGCTGGATGTGCAGGCCAACCTGGCATTTGGCTTCGGCACCGACGGCAAGGAACGGCTGGCTAGCAAGCATCCAGAACTGATACGCTATCTGCCCGATGGCGAGGACAGGGAGTGGCTGGCCACGCGTGGCATTATTCCTGCCGAGAATCGCAGCTCCCGCTTTCTGTTTCTCATCTACGACGAGGTCTGCCGCCTGCAGCAGACCCATGAGTTGTATCGCAACAAGACCAACATAGATCTCTCCATGATGCTGACTTTTAGCGTCACAGATGCCATGATTCACAAGATGCGCTTGTTCTTTGTGGATCTGAACATCAAGAGTCGCGGCCTGATAACCAACTCTTACATTCTGCCCAACCAGCAGCAGCAGCAGGCGCAAACGCAGTCGGGTAGCGCCAACAACAGCCATTTGAGGAATGCTCTGCTCCAAGGAGCTTCATCCCAGCAGCAACAGCAACAGCAGGTCGCTACCCCGCCGGCTGAGGCTGTGGTGCTCAAGGAGTTGCCGGCTGCCTCGCCCACGCCTTGTCTGCAGGGTCAAGTGGTGGGCAGCACTACAACGCCGCTTAAAAACAAGCTGGCGGCCAGTTCTACGCTCAGCTCCTCGCATGCCACGCTCACGGCGCTGCTGAACAATGGAGGCGTTGTGGTGGGAGCAGCTTCTCCAGTCAATTCCTCACCGAGCACCAGCGGAAAGTTTAGGAACTAAGTGAAGTCAAGTGTTTTGTAATTCATTTAGTAGTTTTTAATTTAAAAGGAATTATATTTAAGTTAGTAGAATTTCTTTAGTATATAAGGAAGTGAATAAATAAAAGCTGAAGCTGAAAATTAAAGAACTAAAGTGTACTTTCGCGTTAAAAGAGTTTTAGTTAAAACATTACATTTTAAATAAAGTTGTGTTCATTTTTATGCAGATGGGCAGCATTGTTTGCTTGGTAGAGAATGTCACCCGTAAACAAATGGGCAGCACTGTTAAGTGGCTTAAACAAAGGTAAAGCTTTGTATAATTCTGCATATAAACATTATTTAAATAATAAATAAAAATATTATAAATATAAATATAATAATATAAAATTTTTATAATTTATTAAGGGATGAAATACGTCCAAAAAGCATAAGTTTTAATTTTGTAAGCTTTTCTTTGTAAGTTTTAAATACAAACCCCTTAAAGAATTAATTAGAAACCTGAAAGAAATTTACCAAATATACAATCCAACATTTTTTAATCAATATACCAATTCCCAATTTTCAAATAAATATTTGATGTTTATTGAAACTCAATTTGATATACATATAATTGTGGTTCTCCTTTGGGGTTTCGTCTACAGTTATGTTTAAATATAATAATATATATATATTTTTTATATAATATGTACGGGGTTCATATGCAAATAATTCACATCCGTGTATTTGGTTTTACATAGTGTGTGTTGCTAAGTTTATTTGTTTAACAAGTTAGTTAAGATTTGTATCCTTATAAGCCTTGCTACAGCCCAATCGGCACTTTTGAAGCGCAATCCCCCCCACAAATATTTATCTCCAGCCTACAACGCTACACGCTGATATGGTGTTATTTTTACAGTGTTTCCAAGGTACTCCTATACCGGACTAAGTACAATACGTATTAGAATTAGAGTTAGGGTTTGGGTTTAGTAGAAAATAGACCAAATAGACCTAAGAGTAAGACATAATAGCGTGTTTCTTCTTTTTTTTTGGCCTAAAAATTAGCTCCAACAATGAGTCCGAATATCAGTAATAAGTAATTATAGTAGTTAAGTTAGTTTATAGTAGTTTTAATTTTGAGATAGCACAACCATTTTAGTTTTCGTTTATAGAACAACTTGGGCAAGTCAACAGCCGGATTGCGAAGAGTAAGTAATTAGCCAACCGAGAGAAAAAACAGGAATATATCATTGTGTCTACGTTTTACTTTTCCTTATTTTTTTTTTTACCCTGACTACCTTGAGGACTACCAAGTACTTACAAGATACAACAATGGCTATGCTCAGACAAATGGATTATCTGCTGTACTAAGTATTTGTTCTCCTTTTATTTATGGGGCTTTAAAGCAACATTTAACAATAAGAAAAGCCCGCAGCTGCCCTTGAAACGGATAGATAACAGATGCAGACCAAGATGCAGATACAGATAAATATAAAGATACAGATACGGAGATATACATAGTTAAAGAGTCGTTAAGTTTCGCGCGGAAATGGGGCTGAGTTAAGGGACATTAACTAGCGTTGGGACAGTAAAAGTTCCACACTGTCTCTGCTCTGCATTTTAAGTACTTCTCTAGAGTGTAAGCCTTGTATAAAGAAATATATATATAGAGTATATATATTTTGTAACTTTAGTTTGAAACTCACAAGTCGTTAGGCTGAACGTTGATTAGATATTACGAGTAGATTTATACACAAGTTACGAAAATGTAAATTTTTCACTTTTTCATTACAAGAGATTGTCCTGTGTGTGTGTTTGGAAATAAAGGTAGCGAAGGAAGTGAGGAAGGAAGCCAGGTGAACAGGAAGAGAGGGATGTCTTTTATCTGCTGTGTTGTGCAATCAATGCCCTACCATAAAATGACTACAGTAAATTCGTCTTAATCACGCGTTAGTCGCACTCGAATCTCAAATTTCTCACATCCACACACAAGCGCACACCCATAAAGATTGTCGTTTTAAACTAGATACCCTTTGTTCGATTCTTTAGATATTAATCCACATAATTTCGATACTCAGTTAGTTTCCAGATTTTCAGATGTATAGTTTTTCAGATACTCTGATACATATTTAGTGTGTTCTTTTTGGGGGGAGAGCAGTTGAAACCTTTGCGGGGTTTCCAGCTGTACAGATAGGCTCTTTTTTTGGTTATTGGTTTTTTTAGCGCAACATTTAATTAACACTTATTTGGTTATATGCCTTCGTTTAGCTACCAAGCTTTAATTCCCTTTACTCCTGGGGGGAAGAGATTCAAATTGCCGGATCTCTCCACTTCGTTGCCTTGAAAATTTCAACATTATTGTTTTTTATTTTGGTGCCCCGTTTCGATCCATTTCTCAAACAACATTAAACTTTCACAAACACAACAAGCAAAAATATATATAAACGTGTCTGCATATATATGCTTCTGGTACTCCGATTCCTCAATTATTGTGCTGTTCTGATATTGGTATTTCCCCTTTTAAGTGCTGCCTAACCGTACCTTACTTACAAAGCTCTCTCACCACGAGTGATTGGTGCGCAAGGATGCCAGGACAGGGCATCCCTGCTTTAGTATAACATAACCCCATGCCAATTTTGATCCAAACCAATCCGATCTAATAGTTTATATCCTTGCCAGCCCACGTGCTAAGCTCATTTGACTATGACTATTACATATACAGGGGGAGACAATGCTCTAGGGGATTGGGGAGATATCTGCAAAGTAAAGACGCTCTGGGATGCTGCAATCGATCCTGCTTAGGCGCTAACAAATTGAGCTTGCAGTGGTTGCTCCGAATCCTTGGGACTCCGGCACTGCGCCCGCAACTGGTGGACGGCGGCGGCGGCGTTATTCGGTCAGGGAGAGTTGTCCGAGTCGGAGCCGCCATAGCTGTGCATCGGGAAGAGCGGATACCAGCCGTTGATGTGCTGGCCAATGTTCACCTTGTCCAGGTTCACCTCCGTGCCGCCCAATCCTTGGTTGTGCTCGAAGCCCACGCACCGCTGCCACACCATGATGACGATGTTGCGCCCAAAGACGTCTGAGCTCTGTGAATATATTTGCATGGAGATTCGCAATTCGTTATTCGTTATACGTTCGGGTAATTACATGGCGTCCAATAAAAATATGGCGCGTGCCCAGTGGGGGGCATCAACTGCCTGGGAAGAGGTTTAACCCTCTGTATGCTTTATGTGGCCTGAAGGGCTCTTTGAAAATCTTTAGGGATTTTAAAGGATAATATATATATTGTTTTGTATTTCATTAAAAACAACAAAATATAAATTTAACAAGAAAGAAAGCTAACTTTGGCCAGCCAACGTTTGTGTACCCTTGCAGGTAACAATTAAAATATATCATAACTATGCCAAAAATTCATTAATTTCGATTCGGAAAGCAGTTTTGTGTTAGTTTTTATTAATTTAAAAAAACTGCATACCAAATTTAAAATTTTAAGAAATAAAAATTTTTGTCCATTTTTGCTAATTTTATCAAATTTCGCAAAAATGGCAAAAAAATCGATTTCTTCCTGACATATCTAGAAAGATTCCCCTGTTGATGCTGATCAAGAATATATATGGTTTATGGGGTCGGAAATGATTCCTTGACTTATAAAAATATTATTTTGTATTATAAAATCGGATTTTTTATATTAAAAAACTTCTTGATTTTTTTTAAATTAAAAATATCATAACTCGGCCAAAAGAGCATTCATTTTAAATCGGAAAACAGTTCTGTGCAAGATTTTCTACAGTTAATAAATCTGCATACTTCATTTAAAAATTTTGAAAATTCAATTTTTTGTCAAAATCCAAAATTTTAATGATGTAACCCCTTATAAAATTTGGCAAAAATGGCCAAAATATCGATTTCTTCCTGACATGTCTAGAAAGATTCCCCCTGTTGATGCTGATCAAGAATATATATGGTTTATGGGGTCGAAAACGTCTCCTTCACTGCGTTGCAAACTTCTGACTGAAATTATAATACCCTGCAAGGGTATAAAAATGATTTATAGGATCGGTATTGACTCCTTCGCTGACTAAAATCATAACACCCCCCAAGGACATAAAAATACACAGCGCATGCAGAGGGTTAAAGGTCTGGCCATCTGTCAGGCACATGCTGGGCGCGGAAATTGGCCTCGTCGATGCGATGCCCGGCCAGCAGCCATTAATCGCATTACAATGCAGAGGCGGCAGGTAATAACATCCTGACATGGCCATGGTCAACCAGTGCCAGTGGCTGGCGAATACCCAGCCACAACGCTTTCATCATCATCATCATCGTTATCATCGTCACCTGCCACGCGCGCCATTTGCTCACCTGGTACTTAATGGTCTGGCGGTAGAAGGGCTCCGCCGCATGCCTCACCACCCGCGTCTTCTTCTTGTGGCGCAGCCGGTCGCCGTCCTTGATATAGCACTTGACATACGTATCTGGCGGAGTCTCACAGTCCTCGTTGACAATGTTCCTGGCGCAGATTAGCTGCAAGGCAAGGAAAGGTGCCAATAAAATATATGTTTATCCGATGTCTTGCAACAGGCAGATGGAATTTTTATTTCGACACCTTGAGGGGGTGCACAGCTCCACTTACCTCCACCTCCACGTTGCCCTTGATCTTGACAAAGCCCATCTTGAGCTCCCCGTAGCGGGCAGTGGTCAGACGATAGCCCTTGGGATGAATTTGCGAGGGGCCCAGCTTCAGCCCGTAGCTGGACTCCCCGCCCGTGATGGGCGACGTATTCACATAGCTGCCGCTTAGGGTCTTCACCACGCTCTGTTTCCGCTGGGGACTGTCTCCGGCGCCACCTCCTAAGCCAGCCAAGCCACTGTCCATGCCCAGGCCGGCGCTGCTTCTCTGGTACACGCTGCCCTTGCGGGTGGGCGTGCCCAGAGGCGGCGTCTCCGTGACCTTGGCCACATACATGCTGCCCTTGCGTTGCAGCTGGGTGGTGGTGTTGGTGACGGCCGCCGATGGAGCCTGAGACTCGCCCAGCTGGAACATGCTGCCCTTGCGCTGCTGCTGCTGCAGCTGGCCGGTGGAGAGCAACTGGCTCTGCCTGCCCGTGTCCTGGGTCACATTCGATACGGAGGCGGCCTGCTTGAGCCGGGAGAGAGCCTGCTTGGGACTCTGAGGCGGTAGCTGGCTACCCGAACCCTTCCAGCGTGGTCGATAGCGCTTGTCCTCGTCCTCGGATGGCGGACTGGTGTCTGCATTGGCTACACCCAAAGGCAGATGCTGCTGCTGCTGCTGAAGCTGGAGTTGTTGGAGTTGTTGAAGCTGCTGCAACTGTTGGTGCTGCTGGGTGAGGTCCAAGATAGAGCTCTTTCGGCTGTTGGGTCCGCTGGGGAGGCCAACCCGGCTGGTACCTATCCGGGGCGAGATGATAAGGGTCAGAGGGTGGTTCTTGAACAAAGGCATCCAATGCTTTCGAACTCAACTCAAATAACCAAGATTTTACGGGGCAGTGATGGCAAGTTATCCAAGGGGACAAAGGTGTTAGTAAGGCTTTTACCCTGCTAACACCTGTCCACCTTGAGCTAACCATCACGGTTTGTTATTATTTAGGACGGAGAATGAAGGTGTTACTGGTCTAGGACTAAGGACTAAGGACTAGAAAACGGAGAAAAGGTAGAGCTACATTGAACAAAGCATGCGGCTAAAACGACATCTATTATCAAGGCCAAAATAACACTACAATATTAATTTTTTTTAAGTGTTCTGACTGCAAAATTAACACGAAATGTAACACTGGCAGTGATGACCGACATAGATGAGGCCTTCAAACTGTTGGGTAAGAGAGATCATCCCAGAGCATCCTTTTTTTCCCTAATCTCTACTTTAATCTGTAGGCTTTGGCCGGATGCAGAGGTGCGTGTTCTTAAGCTGCTTTCTCATCCAACTTTGGGCAACCAATGAGCAGCTGGGCTTCGCTGTGGTCGTGGCAGGAGCCACATGTGACCTCGACATCTCAGATCAGCGTGTCAGCTGGCTTATGTGTTGCAACTTTGGAGCCCAGATGATCCTGGCGCTTATTTGGGGTGGAATAGCGGATCGGTATGGCCGTCGCAGGTTGATCATAAGCACATGTCCCGGTTCTTTGTTTGCATCCGTGCTCTCAGCATTAATGCCGGAGTTCTGGTCCTTTATGGTCATGCGTGTCCTTACGGGTGCCCTGTGAGTAGGAATCTATATACTTGATCCGAAGATTTACCAGCTCTTCTACAATACTCAGCTTGGGTGGTACCTTGGGCATTCTAATGACCTATTTGGGCGAGCTAACGAAGGTGTCACTGCGCCCCAAGGTTCTAAATTATTCCAGCTTTGCCTTTGGTCTCAGCATGATACAAGTACCGGGTAAGTTTAGGAATCTAGCTGATCTTATGCACATTCTCCTTTCTCCTCTGGCAGCTCTGGCCTCTGTGATTCTTCCCTTAGACATGGGTTCTTTCCAAAACTGGCGTGCCTTACAGTTGTTAAATTTGTTGCCTGGATTTTGTGGTTTCATCATAATGCTGTTTTTACCCGAGAGTCCCAAATATTACTTGTCAATGGGTCAGGACGCTAAAGCCATGAAGGTAATGGAGAGGATTTGTCGCTGCAATAAGGGCAAGGATGCTACACTGGCCACCTTAGGCATTGAATCGGTTACGCAGACTCGTTTGCAGACTACGTAAGGTTCTTTGATATTTTCTATGATTTTATATATCTTAATTCCACATCTCCAAAGAGATACTGGCCACTGTGCTCAGATCAAGAGCTTGTTGACGAATTACCGCAAATACATGACCATCATGATCCTCATCGTTCTCGTCCTCTGCGGATTGTGAGTTGACTTAGTACATTAACTAAGCAAGGACTTGAACACTAAAGCTCTTGGCTCATAGTTGTTTTCCTTGGCTTTTTACAGTGGCTTTGCTTTACCCGTTTGGATGGTGCGCATCAGGGTGTCAATGCAGTCAACAGAAGAAGAGACAACTGTCTGCGAGCATATGCAGGGAACGATTGCCGCGAAGACCGCACAGGTGAGGTTGATTTTCCTTAGAGCTTCAGTTAGTGATCCTTCTTCCTTTTCCTAAAGTGTGACTTGAAGTTCAGTGACTTGTTGGATGCCATCATCCACGGCTTCGTGGTTCTAAGTGTCTTTATAATCACTAGCCTTCTCCTGTTCGTTCTGTCGCGTCGCGTAGTTATGTTAACCTATATTGCCATAGCGATCGTGGGCAGCCTGTCTCTTAATTTTGCAAGGAATAGCTATTTGATACTGGTATGTTTCTTTGCCTTGATCGATGCGCCACTGTGCTGCATAAGGCTGTTGTTTACATTCATTATAGATTTGATACCTACGTACTTGAGGTAAGTCATTTCTATTGATATATTTTATAATTTGAAGACATTTTTGTTTAGGGGTAAGGCCACGGCCATTCTTTTTATGATGGGACGTGTTGGTATCTTGTTAACCAGCTTGCTGGTGGGCTATACCTTGGGTTTGAACTGTCTTGTCACCTTTAATACCTTGCTGATATGTCTGGTAGGTGAGTTCTATATTTTATTTAATAAATATCTTTGTATTCTCCTAACAAAAAACAAACAGTTTCTAGTATTCTTGTCTTTATGCTACCTTCGGATCGTCGCGTTCGAGAGACGTATAATTCTTAAACTGGATACTAATAAGGAGCTCAGAGCAAGAAGAACGGAAAAGGGAACCTCAGCTCGGTCAATCAATCATTCAATCAATTGGGCGCCTAACCAGCATAAAGTTTAAGGAGCAAGGCTAAAGGATTAGGGCCAAAGATCAAATATTTTTGTAAAAAAAAAAAATAATAAAAATAAACGTCAAATAAACTTTGGCGACAGATGTGCGTGTGTGCCTTTGTACCGAGTCTCCCTCTGTGTGTGTCGTGTGCTTCAAGCGGATATGAAAGTGCGTAAAAGGCAAAACGGAAACGGAAGGCAAGGCAATCGCTAAGCGGCTTAATAATAACTGTCGAGCAAGAAAATCGAATTGCAGGGAAAACGAAAAAGGGAAAAGCGAGGATGGAGCATCAAGAGAAACGAAGAAAACATATTGGTAAAGGAAGGACATAGCTGTAGCTTTCTTTTGCTGAGCAGGCACAATAATAGGGACATTTCCCCAAAGGAAAAGGAGCTGTCAATTCAAATATATATATGTATGTATGTATATATTTCTACATATATATTCACGAATTTTGGCAGACACAGACTTTGCTTATTTTCATATTTAACGGCTTGTTTGTGGCTCTGGGAAATTCGTATTACGGCTTTGTTCTGTTATCGCGCTTTTCTTTTTCTTGTTCTGTCTGCGAGTTTTCATATTTCGCTTTTAAAAGTTAATTTCAAGGCTGAGCTATTCCGGCGTTTCAACGTTGAAGGGTTTATGAGGGCGGCGAACTGTGGCGAAGCCAACAGGTAATAAGACGTTTCTCTACCCAGTTCTGGCTTTCAGCTGCGACTTTGCATTTTAAACACACAACAAATTTGTTGGGAGTTTGTTCTGGCTTTTGTGTATATATTTTTTTTGTGTGTTGACAACTTTTTCAGGGCTGTGAAAATAGCATCAATAAGCTTAAATAAGCCCCAGCCACAGCCACAGCGACTCGGAAGATGGCATCACAAGTCGTCCTGGGACACTCCTCCTCGACTGGCTTAACCAGAGAGTACGTGGGGGTTTTTGTGTGTGTTTTTTGTAATGAGATTTTCGGCAGCTCTCAACATGCACATGTGAGCTGGGTATATTTTAGTACACATACTATATATAAAACGGATTCTAAGTAATTGTGTGCTGGCGAGTGGGCGTTAATTAAGTGCCAGGGCATGCAGCTAGGACTCGCAGGAAAAGGAAGAAACCAAAATGCCAAAACGCAACTCAATCTCAATCTCAACTCAAGTTCATTTTGCATTCTTACCAGTGGTTGTGGGTGGTGGTGTTATTTTTATTTTGTGTAGTTTTTGCATATAAATATTTTGCAGCTAAGCTCAATTTGCAGGTCTTAGCATTCATTCAGTTTTATCTTTTGTATTTGCTTGTATAATTTACAAAAGGGTTTTCTGTTTTCTGTTTTTTGGGTTCTGTTTTCTGTTGAAGATTTCTACCATTTTTGTGGTTGGTGGTGCAGTGTTAATCGTCCTCTTTTCATTAGGTTAAGCAAAATAATTACGGATACTGAATATACTGACAGGTGCTGAGGGCTCTAAACAAGTGTTGTGGTTTGTAGTAGTTAGTGCTCTATGCGTTAGTTTATTTGGTTAATTGCTTTTAATTAAATTTGCTGTGTGGCTTTTGGTTTAGTTCATTCATTTAGTAGTGTTTTGTCCAGTTTGTGTGGGGTGTGTCAAAGCTTTGATAATGCGACACCGATATTGTGGCTAATAGTGGGAAAGATATGGAAGAGATATTAGAGAAAGAGAGAGAGAGATTATATAGAGGTGTACGATGCAGATGTCAGATTTAAGTATAAGGTGTCCATTAAGTGAGAGCCAAATAATGATCAGACACAGCTAGCAGCAAGGCACAGTTGGGGGTTTCGTGAGGATAAACAGGAAATGCATAGAGTCAGAGACACAGAGTGAGGAATAGAGGGAAGAGTAGATAGAAGAAATCGGTAAGAGAGATTCCTGGCAGGAGATCCTTTGGGAAAATTATAAGGCTTAACATCTAACTTAGAGGGACCTGGGAAAATATATATGGTGACATGAAATAAATCCCAGAAACTAAAGGTTTTTATCTTAATGATTATTCATTTTTAAATTGGAAAGTAACTAATGTCTAAGAAGGGTCCTTGTTTTGTTCTAAAGTAAGTCATTAAAGAAAACCTAGAACTGCCAAGCTGAAAAGTTATATATTTTGAATATCAATATTTATTTATAAAATGTATTTTGGTTTTTAAAAAATATAAAAAATTTATCTTTTATTATTTATATTACTTCATGTCACCCCCTTGGATTTTCTCTTTGTAAAACAACACCCAAAATTATTTTTAGCAACCAAGAACTTTTTGTAAATCCCCAATACTCACGTCGCGATCCCATACGCTTGTGCTGCTCGGTGCCCAGGCTCATCGTCCTTCCCAGCTCCCCGCGCACAGCCTTCAAGGATTTCAAGATCTCATCCGGATCGCGTCGAGCCACAGACGAACGTCGCCGGCCCACCAAATAGGAGGTGGGCGGCGTGGCCATGGCGTCCTCCTCTTGCAGCCGCTTTTGTTCGGCATCCTGGAAGCTCGATCGACGCGAACCCGGCAATGAGCGCGAGAAGTCCTTGCCCAGCTGGTAGACCTCCACCTCCATGGTCTCCGACTGCGAGGAGCCACGCCGTGAGCCCGCAATCCAGGCATGATCCGGATGCAGCAGCGATGTCCCATCTCCGATGGAGTCTACGTCATCGGAGATGGAGCGCTGCATATTATAGTCTCGCCTCAGCAGCCGGGTTACATCGCCGCAGGGAGCACCAGCTCCTGCAGCAATGGAGCCGCGTGGCGACACGCTCGGAGACTTGCTAATACTAATGCCACGCAATCCCTTGGTATCCTCCAGGCGACACCAGATGGCCTGGTCATCGAGGAAGGCCTGCTGCAGCTCTATGCTGCATTCGCCCAGAAAGATGGACTCGGTATGCGGGACCAAGTCCCACAATTGTATGTCTATGTAGCGATCCATTAGGGTGTCGGCCTTCACATGGCCAAAGGTCAGGGTGGCGTTCCAAATGGGATTCTGGGTGGGGCGACTCACCTCCGTCTGTTGAACGCTGCCATCGCCGCTGTAAAGGAAAAGGTAGGAGATATATTTTGATTGGAAAATATAAAAAGAAAAATAAGAAAGAATTTCCACTAACCATTTGGGCAGAATTCGGACCTTGGCATACGCTTCGGGCAGGTTGCCGTGTCCATAGGCCTCGTCCCTCAAGGCCAGGTCATCGCCGGCCATCAGGGAGACTACGAGCTCGTGGCGCTCCGCATGATACCAGACCTGGATCTGGACGCGACCGGTGACCAGCTTCTCGCGGGCAATTTGCTCCTGCGGCGAAGCAAAAGCTCGTTAGTACAGCGGTCACGCTATCTTCGACTCGCAAAGCCTCCCGTTGCTATTTATTTCAACGCTTAACAATCGCTAGGAATATGTCTAGATATACTAGATTTGATACAAGTCTAGATTTAATATATGTCTATGGTTTTTGTGCCTAAACAAAAGCGTATTTGTGCCGCCTGGCCTCTATTTACATTTACTTTTTGCATTTACATTTACAATTCTTCGGCTGGCTGGCTTCTGTTTTTGTTCTGTGTAAGTGTGTGTGGGTGTGCGTGTGAGAGTGTGTGTGTACAAAACTGAACAACAAATTAAAGCAATCAAAACGTAAATAAAACTAATTAAACGAGTGAGAACGAAGGGGTGGCTGGGTGGTTTCTGCTGGTGAAACTACACATACTACAACGCACTATTCTCCCTTAGGGAAAAGCACACATAAATATAATGCAAATTATGATGTTCGCATGTGTTTTCTATTTACAAAAGGAAGCACTGGGATGCAGAGGATGCAGAGATGCACACACACATGCACAGATGATAAACAAAAGGGAACCGCAAATGCAATCTGCTTCAGGGGGCGCTGGGCTCTACTCTGTGTTGTCTCTAGTGTTGTATGGTTTTTGTACGGGCCTCGAAAGCGGAAGTCATTGCGGCCCAGTTGCGCATGAAGGTCCTGGCGATTGTTGCTGCCGGTGCTAGTTATATGTGCACCGAGAAGAAAGTTGTACAATTTTATGTGATTGTAAAACTACTAATAATAATACAAATAAATAAGTATATTATATTCTTGAAGCTGCAGTCATTCAGGAGCTGTATTCCTAACTCAAAAATCTATCAGTTTTTTAAATAGTAATACTTTACAACTTATCACTTAAAGACGCCATCTTGCTAGCTCTCTTAAACTATTCTATAATAAAAACAAACAAAATATATATATCCTTGGAGCTGCAGACACTTAGGAGATTTACTCCTAACTAAAGAAACTATAAGTATATTAGTCTTGCTTGATTTATCACTTCAAGGCACCTTCCTATAAACTCCTTTTTAACTATTTAAATTGTATTTTTCCAAGTGCCGAATAGTTGGTAATGGCGCGTACCTTCATAACATATTCATGGCGTGTACATGCGCAGCAGCAGTAGTGGCAATAATAACAACAACATCTACAGCTCTGGCATCGCCGAATTGACTTTCTCCATGGCGGATCTGCAGCGGAAGCCGCCATATTGCAATAACATGTAGCAAGCGGAAATGGAAGCCACACATCCACACACACACAGGCACAATCCACATATATATTCCAAAAACTGCGAACTGTTGCTCGCAAAAGTTTTTTACGAGCCAGCAAAAAAAAAAAATTGGATAAAGAAAACTCGAAAAGAAAAATATTACCGCGCGCACACTTCTCATCTGTGGGTGGAAATCGAATTCGTGTTGGGACTCTCTTATAAGGGGCGTTTATTTTTATTTTTATCTACAGGTAAGCAGGCACATGTACTTGCAGGATTATTGGAGTTTATCAGGCATCAAACAGGCGCCGGCGATAAAAGCCTAAGCACTTGAAAAACTTTTCCGAAAAGGAGGCAGGCAGCGGCGGCGGCCTGTCGTCGATAATAATAATGACGAGAGCTCTCAGGTCTCTGTGGGATCTGGGATCCCTTCTTCCTCTGGCCTGTGGAATTGTTGTTAAAAGTTTTCTAATTTTCGACATTTCAAGCATTTTATGCCTCGCAGCTGTCAATTAAAGGGCGACAGGCGAAGGCGACCGCACCTGTTGCTGACAAGTCCGCTGGCTAACCGCGGGGATCCTGCG